CCTTCTTTCTTTCTTTTTTTCTTTCTTTCTTTTTCTTTCTCTCTCTCTCTCACTCTCTTTTATTTCTACCACATCTTATTGAATGCTACCTTTGTGTCAGATCTTGGAATATAACGAAGACTTTAAAAATGTTGGCTGCTATTTCAATAAAAGCTTAAAAATTTTAGCATGATCTAAAAATTCTAAACTTGCATGCATTTGATGACATAACCTAAGAGTTTAAAAACAAAAATAAAAAGTGACAGAATTACAAGGAGAATTGACAATTCACCACCACGGTGGGTGATTTAACATACTTTTCTCAATAGCTGATAGATCGAGCAAGGTAACTATAAATGTATTTGCAATGATACAAAAGATCTGAATAACGCAGAGAGGCTGGGCGCAGTGGCTCAAGCCTGTAATCCCAGCACTTTGGGAGGCCGAGGTAGGCAGATCACCTGAGGTCAGGAGTTTGAGACCAGCCTAGCCAACATGGCAAAACCCCGTCTCTGCTAAAAATACAAAAATTAGCCAGAAGTGGTGGCGGGTGCCTGTAATCCCAGCTACTCAGGAGGCTGAGGCAGGAGAATCGCTGGAACTCAGGAGGCTGAGGCAGGAGAATCGCTGGAACTCAGGAGGCAGAGGCAGGAGAATCGCTGGAACTCAGGAGGCAGAGGCTGCAGTGAGCTAAGATTGTACCACTGTACTCCAGCTTGGGAAACAGACCTAAACTCTGTATCAAAAAAAAAAAAAAAAAATGCAGAGAATGGTAGCTTAGGGATAGTCAGCAATATTCCCCAGATTAACTAAATTAGCCTTATCCAGGAATGCAAAGAGAATTGGACATCAGAAAATGTATTAATATAATTCACAACATTTCCATGGATATAGAAAAAGGCATGTAATCGAATTAAACACTTAGGATAAAACAGAACTGCTGCTTCTAAGAATAGCAGGGAAAATTCTTCAGCCGACAATAGTGTCTGCCGAAAGCTTACAGTAGACATCAGGGGCAAGGGGGAAACACTGGAAACAGTCTCTTTCAAATCAGAAATAAGACAAGGATACCTGTCAGCACTGACTCCCTTCAGCCCTGTAATAAAGGAGCTAGACAAGCCAAGGAATACATGCTATAAGAATTGGGAAGAAAGAAATAAAACTGTCACTTTTCATAAATGATAAGAGTGTCTAGAAAGACAGCCTTAGACGTGTTAGTAGCAAAATCCTCACATAAATTAGAGTGAGAATTTCCATCCAGGTTTCTATGTAACTTCAATATGCAAAATGTGACATTTTCCCTACATGTGGGCAACAAATAGAAAACCCAATTTAAAAAACATGAGTTATAACGGCACTGAAAGCAACAAGGTATCAAGAAATGAACCTTTTGAAAAATGTGCGTGACCTTTCTTGGGGGAGATTATAAAACTTTATTAAAGGATATAAAGGGGCAATGTACCATGTTAATGGACAGGAAGACTCAATGTTATAGAGATGTCAGTTCTCCCCAAATTCCTCTAGAAATTGAATACGATTCTAATCAGAATCCTCACAAAGTTTTTCTTGGAACTTGACAAACTTATTGTAAACTTTATATGAAAGAGCAAACAGTCAGTGGCAACAATAGCAATTTTGAAAACGTTCAAGAGTGGAGGATTTGCCCTGCTGGGTATGAAGATCTGATACAGAACTGCAGTAATTGGGATAGACACACCATGACACAGGTGACAACGTGACGAATCTGGAAAATAAGCTGTGTGAAAGGCCTTGGGTGAGATGCCACGCGGTCGGTGAAATCCTAGAAAATGCAAAGTCATCTGCATGGCAAGAAGCAAATCAGAGTTTGTGTGTGTGAGCTGAGCGGTGGCTGGAGGGGTGGGGAGGGAGAAACCGAGGGAGAGGTGGGCTATACTGGGGTGCAAGGATGCTTTTCAAGGTGATGGAAATGCTCTATGATGCTCTGTATCCTGGGAGGTTTTGTGGATGCATATATCTGTCAAAACGAATGGAACTATATGCTTTAAATGGATAAAACTTATTGTATGCAAATTATACTTCCATATAGATTTTTTTTTTTTTTTTTGAGATGGAGTTTTGCTCTTGTTGTCCAGGCTGGAGCACAATGGCACAATCTCGGCTCACCACAACCTCTGCCTCCCAGGTTCAAGCAATTCTCCTGCCTTGGCCTCCCAAGTAGCTGGGATTACAGGCATGTGCCACCATGCCCGGATAATTTTGTATTTTCAGTAGAGACAGGGTTTCTCCATGTTGACCAGACTGGTCTGGAACTCCCAACCTCAGGTGATCTGCCTGCCTCGGCCTCCCAAAGTGCTGGGATTACAGGCGTGAGCCACCGCACCCCGCCTCATATATATATATTATTTTTTTTCTTTTAGACGGAGTTTCACTTTTGTTACCCAGGCTGGAGTGCAATGGCGTGATCTCAGCTCACCGCAACCTCTGCCTCCTGGGTTCAAGCAATTCTCCTGCCTCAGCCTCCCAAGTAGCTCAGACTACAGGCGTGTGCCACCATGCCCAGCTAATTTTTGTATTTTTTAGTAGAGACGGGGTTTCACCATGTTGACCAGGATGGTCTCCATCTCTTGTCCTTGTGATCCACTCGTCTCAGCCTTCCAAAGTGTTGGGATTACAGGCGTGAGCCACCACACCTGATCTAAAGCCAGTTTAATTGTTTAAATTGATTTAAGAAGTTGCTGGCTGGGCATGGTTGCCTACGCCTGTAATCTCAGCACTTTGAGAGGGCCAAGGCGGGCAGATCACTTGAGGTCGGGAGTTCAAGACCAGCCTAACCAACATGGAGAAACCCTGTCTCTACTAAAAATACAAAATTAGCCGGGCGTGGTGGCGCATGCCTGTAATCGCAGCTACTTTCAAGGCTGAGGCAGAATTGCTTGAACCTGGGAGGCAGAGGTGGTGGTGAGCTTCAAGAACTAGAAATGAATTCTTTAAAAAAATTTATTTAAAAAAACTTTTTATTTGTAATTGGCACATAATTGTACATATTTATGGGGTACGATGTGATGTTTCGATGCATGCATAGCCATATAATGATCAAATCCGGGTAATTCCCACGTCCATCACTTTCAACATGTATCATTTCTCTGCTGCAACAACATCTGAAACCTTCTCTCCCAGCTCTCTTGAAATATTCGCGACGTTGTGATTTGCTCTATTCACCCCACTGTGTGGCAGAACACCAGAACTTACTCTTCCTGTCTCACGGAAGCTCCACGAATGTTCTTTCTCTGTTCCAGGTTCTTTTTTTTTTTTTTCAAGAACGAGTTTTGCTCTTGTCGCCCAGGCTGGAGGGCAATGGCGCGATCTCGGCTCACCGCAACCTCCACCTCCTGGGTTCAGGCAATTCTTCTGCCTCAGCCTCCTGAGTAGCTGGGACTACAGGCACGCGCCACCATGCCCAGCTAATTTTTTGTATTTTTTAAATAGAGATGGGGCTTTACCATGTTGACCAGGATGGTCTCGATCTCTTGACCTTGTGATCCACCCTCCTCGGCCTCCCAAAATCTGTTCCAGGTTCTAATTTGGGGTACCGCACTGCATTTAATACGTTATCCTTTTGTTTTTTAAATTAACACGGAGGTTGCCCTAGGGACTAGCAGTGGGTGGAAAAATAAAGGGGCAGTGAAGGAGGAAGCCCCAGGGTGGCCACAGGGAACGCCTGGCGTCTCCCACCCAAGGTCTCAGCACAGCGTATGCAAAGCGCGTTGGAGAGACACTGGTTTGCTGGTAAGTGTCACAGTTGACTTGCCCGGTGCTGGGCAGGCGCTTTAGGAAGTTGTGTTTTCCTCTCTGTAAAAATCAGTGTTGTGAACGCAGTAACTTGTGTGAACTGCTCTGAAAGGGCTCGGCCTCCAGGAGCCTGCTGAGAATCCTGGGCTCTGCCAGCCAGCGGGCCCTGGCCCTCTGCACACTCCTGTGGGATTCCTGGCTTGTCCTGAGGGACGGTCCAGGGTGGATGACCAGTGGCTCTTCCTCTCCCTGCCTCTGTCCCTTCCCCCTGGACCTGGAAAGGCGTGGGGTTGGGGAGTGATCACGACGATCAGTGAACTTGGTGCCAACAGGGGTGATCGAATGTTCTCCCGAGTGTCCTCGGAGAGCCCTCGTGGCTAAGGGAGTTCCCTGAGAGCTGGAGAATGCAGGCTTTGTCCCCTCAAACAGCAGCTGGAGCCAAGAGCTCCAGTTGGAGAAGAGCTTGGAGTAAACTGAGCGTCAGGGTGGTTTCAGGCTAGGTGGTCAAATGACTTCTCAGACCCTCAGTTTTCACATCAGGGAAGTGGGCCACAGTTCCTAGATCCAGAGTGCCTGGTGCCCCAGGGCAGCCTCAGGACAGGCTTGGTGCCTGTAGGGCACTGCCTGCCACTTCCCCTCAACATGCCTTTCTCCATCTGTGGACCACACCTTCCCTTCCTGCCTCATCACTCCCCATCCTCCCACACAGGCCCTTCCCTGGCGGAGCCCCTGGGTCCTGGCTCAAGAAATCTCCGTGAACCTGGAGTACCTTCTTTAGAGCAAATGTTTCAAGAGCCAGCTCCAATGCTGCTTGCAGGCCCCCAGCTCTCCCTCTCGGTAACACTGAGGTCCTCTCTGTAGAGTCCCCATTGCCCCAGTCACTTCCTGCCTGCTTTCTAATCTCCCGTGATGAAGTCCTGCCTCCCCCTCTGCAAAGGGTGTAAACTCCAGGGACCAGCTGTCTCTTGTATCCTGGGATCACTAGCACCTGGTACTATGCCTGGCACACAGTAGGCACTCATTAAATGCTGTGCTTAGAACTGAGGTGTACTTGGAAGCCTCACGTTCTTGGAGAACAGCCTCTGGGCCTGCCCAGTGGTCAGAAATTGAGCCTCCTACCACAGAGGGGAGGCCGGAGGTGGGGGGCTGCAGGGATGGCCAGGGCTCAGCCAGCACCTGAGCGCCCCGCCCACCAGCTGCTCCTCCAAACCGAATGCTCCACCCCCTGCAAACGACCTTGAGGGCAGCAGCTTGGGTAAGTTCCCCTTCCGCTTCCTCCCACCCCACCACTGCTGCTCTTCAGCAGGCGCCTTGCCAGCCTCCACACCCCTTGTGCCTGCAGAAACGCGCCTGGCCCTGAGCTGTCACCACTGACACTGTCCAGGCCCCGGACACGATGCAAGCCATCAAGTGTGTGGTGGTTGGAGATGGGTAGGTGCCTGGCTGGACCTCCTCACAGCCCCCAACTGGGATGCTGTGAGATCCTCCCGCCCTGGTGTCCCTGGGGAAGCCCCTGGCTCTGCAGAATTAGGTGTCCCTGGAAGGCAGCTTGGAGGAGTCGCTTCATTCTTCTAGGGCTCACAGCTAGCACCCCGGGGTGGGCTGAGGACAGCTTCACCCTCTTCAGCCCACCCACCCTGGAAGCCATCTGGGTGGAGGGTGCAGGACTATGGCTGGGAGTGCCCGGGCCCCTCACCTGCACCCCCAAAGCTGGGGGCAGGTCTCCCACGGAGGTGAGCCTCAGCCTTCAACTCTGTGGATGCACCCGGGAAGTGGGAAACCAGAAATTCAGCCTTCGTCCCCAGGCTGACTTGGGCTCTCGTCACTGGTTTGGTGCTGCTGTGTGGCCTTGGGCAAGTCACAGCATGTCTCTGAACCTCAGCCATCTGGGAGGAGGAGGCCTATGCCCTAGGGATGCTGTGGGGTCGCTGGACATAAGCTGAGTGGCTGTCTTGCTTGTAATGTGTGCTCAATAACCACCCCCTGCTGTTACCACCCCCCGCTTTCTCTCCTTTCCCCTCAGCCTGCTGCGTTGGGGAGGATGTGTGGGGGATGTGGGCGAGGAGCAGAAGGGGCAAGGGGACATTGAGAGACAGAGAGGAGAGGGAGGAGGTGGCCATAGGATGGGAGGGTGATTGTGGGATCTGCAGGGGAGGGGCAGGCTGGGCTGACACCTCCTCAGTTGTCAGATCCCAGTGACCGCCAGGCTGTCGTGTCTCCTGGGGATTCTCGGTTTCCTCATCTGTAAAATGACGAGTCTAGGCCAGGTGCAGTGGCTCATGCCTTTAGCCCTAGCGCTTTGAGAGGCCAAGTGGGGAGAGTTGCTTGAGACCAGCCTAGGCATTCACAGTGAGAACCCATGTCTACAGAAACTTTTTTTTATCTTTTTGGCGGGTGGCGGGGGGGTCTCACTCTGTCACTCAGGCTAGAGTACAGTGGCGCAATCTTGGCTACTGTAGACTCCGCTGCCCAGGTTCAAGCGATTCTCCTGCCTCAGCCTTCTGAGTAGCTGGGATTACAGGTGTATGCCACCACACCTCCCTAACTTTTGTATTTTTAGTAGAGACAGGGTTTCACCATGTTGGTCAGGCGCTGGTCTTGAACTCCTGACCTTGTGATCTGCCTGCCTGGCCTCCCAAAGTGCTGGTATTACAGTCATGAGCCACCAGGCCCGGCCACAAAAACATTTTTAAAAGCCAGAAGTGGTGGCACGCGCCTGTAGTCCCAGCTATTGGGAAGCTAAGGTGGGAGAATCGCCTGAGCCCAGGAGTTTGAGGATGCAGTGAGCTATAGTTGTACCACGGGGTGACAGAGCAAGACCTGTCTCTTAAAAACACAAAATAAAAGGACAGGTCCCGTTTGTCAATCTGTCGTGCCTGCCCGCAGCCATGTCTTAGGGTCCAACCCACAGGCCCAGCTTGGGGCTTTCTGTAAGTCCATCCCAGCATGTTCTAGCTGGAAGGAGCCTCTTGTCCAGCCCTCCCATGCTACAGAGGAGCAGCCCAAGGCTGTAAGAGACTCAGCTGTCCTGGCCTGGGTCCTGTGGCCCCCACTTTGGCTCTGACTCATCCAGGTGGGGGTGGGCCCATTTGCCCACCAGCCTCAGCTGATTCTGATACATGGCCGCTTATCTGCCCACGCCGGCCCGGGCCCGTTCACTTCTGCTTTCTATCTGATCTGAAGAGGGGCAGGCGGAAGTCAAGGGTTAACGTCCCAGTCATTCAAAGTTACCTCGGGACAGGCCCCGGGGAGGACTGTGGTAGAGAGGAGGGGATGAGCTGTCTCCTCTGAGCAGGAAGTGACAGAACCAAGCAGGGCAGGGGAAGGCCCAGAGCTGCCCCTTGGTCTCCGGGCTTTGGCTGAGCTACCTGCACCTGCTCCCAGTCTCAAACGCTGGGGGTGGGGGAGGTGCGCAAATAATGACGTTCTCCGATTACCGATCCCTTCCTTCCGAGGTACCAGCTCTGGGGTTAGCCCGGCCTTCTCTATTTATCCTCTCACCAAACCTAATAGGTTTTTACAGGTGGGAAAATGAATTCAGGGAAGCTATGCAGTTTGCCCAAAGCCTCACAGGATTTGAACCCAGCACACTCTGACTCAAACCCTGGTCTAGTAACTGCTCTGCTCCATGGGGAGGTGAGAGGGAAGAGCTGGGTCAGGCCCTGTGCTAGGTGCTTCGATAGGCATCGTTGGATTCATTCCTCAGCACACTCCTATGGGGATGGGCTCATCCTGATTTTCTAGATGGAGAAACTGAGGCAGAGGCAGGTTAAGTGACTCGTCCAGGGTCATGCCACTGGTAGGTGGTACGGCTGGGATTTGAAGCCCAGGCCAGGCATCGGGGCCCCTCGGCATGGCCCGAGTTTGCAGGGTACCCCTTCTGTGTGACATCTCTGGTCCCTGGAGAAACCTGTGGGAAATGCAGATTCCCAGCTCTGCAAACACCCGTGGGTCAGAATCTCTGGGGCTGGACCCTGAAGTCTCCACTTTAACAAACACGCACAGGACCTGCAGGCTCTCAGGTGTGAGAACACAGACATGGGGTGTCTCAGACAGGGAGACAGGACCCAGAGGGCTAGGCTGGGTGGATGCTGAGGTCTTCGCAGAGGATGGGGCAGAAACCTCCCCATGTCTCCAGCAGAGCCCATGACCGCCGCCCTCTTGCACTTCCTGTCTTTCAGGGCCGTGGGCAAGACCTGCCTTCTCATCAGCTACACCACCAACGCCTTCCCTGGAGAGTACATCCCCACCGTGTGAGTTCCTGGGGACACGCAGGTGCTGGGAGGAGGGGAGAGAACGTCACCAAGTCGACCCGCTTTCAGGCACTTCTGTGGGCCAGACCCTGTGTGGGCACCCGATGGGGTGCCAGAGCCACAGCCTCCAGTGGAGCAGAGCTGCCTGATGGTCCAGCCAAGAAGGCAGCACTGGCACTAAGAAGTGCTGGGGGTGGGGGGGGGGGAAGGGGTGGAAAGGGAGGAAGGAAGGAGGCAGTGGCCTTTAGGCTGGGTCTCCAAGCAAAGCGCTGTAGAGGAAACGGCTGGCTTGGGCAGGAGCAGGGGCTGGGAGAGGAGCCTCTGTGGAGGCAGGCTGGGCTCCAGGAGGAGGTGATCCAGAGGGTCTGGCCCCAGGGAGCAGGGACACCTGGGGCCGTGGCATGCTGAGGGGCAGAACAGAGGCATCTGCAGGCCTCAGAGGCCCTGCGCTCTATTGCAGGACGTGGAGGCAGGGCTGTCAGTGGACATGGCGGGAGTGTATTGGCGTCAGACTCAGGAGGGACGGATGACTGGGGAGGCACCAGCCCCTCTCCGGCCAGCCCTCAGGGGCCCACGTCACTCCTAGGACATTTCCTTGACTCCCTAGCATGGCACTCAAGGCCCCTGATGGCCTTCACTCAACCTCCTGCCTGGCCTCATCACCCATTACTTGGCTTCAGGCCCTGCCTCCCCTGGACCCTACTGTTCACCACAAGTTCCCTGCACATTCCTACCCCAGGGCCTTTGCTCAAGCTGTTCCTCTCCCCGTAGTGCTTTTTCTCCCCACATCCACCTGCCTAAAGCCTCCATACCCAGCTCCAGTGCCCCCTCCTCCAGGAAGCCTTTCTGATCTATGGTGAAGGGGTCTCCCCTCCCCAGAGAGACTTTATCTGATCTCTCCCATGATCATGAGCCTGTGGGGGACAGGGAGCCACGGCCAGTCCTTTCTGGGTCTCCCCATTGTCTTAGCACAGAACCTTCTATGTGGTATCATACACACCTTGCCTTACACACAACACATGTGTTTTGAGTTGACCTGAATGGAACATCATGGGAGGGACCGCAGGAAGAGCGATCATAGCCACCACCTAGCAAAGGCCTGCTGCGTGCTGGGCCCTGCACAAGATGTCATGCACACGTGATCTCATTGGATCCCCCTGGGAGATGGCCATTAGCATGCGCAGGACACCCACGGGGAAGCTGAGCCTCATAGCCACGAAGAGGCTTGCTTCCCAGGCTTACACGGTCCTGTCTGGCTTCAGAGCCAAGGTCCACACAGAACCTTGCTGGGGCCCTCATTTCTTGATCTTAATGAAACCCCCTTTTAGGAGCAGGGATCAGGCTCTCCTAGGAAGAGGAGGCAGGCAGAAGGGAGAAGAGACCCTGGAGCTGAGATGCTTCCAGCCCACCCCAGAGGATCCCCCACTACCCAGCCCCTACCCCAGACTTGAGTGGACCGAGTTCCCTCTGCTGATCTCTCTCCTCGTGACATTCTACTCAGCTGCCTTAGACATCCTGGCCCAGGCTGGAGGAAGGCAGGCAGCCAGGAGAGGGCAGGGAAACCCAGGCAGAGAGCTTAGAAAGCCGTCTTTGCCCCAGCTCAGTCCTGATGCTGGTGAGTGCCCCTCTGTGCACCTGTCCTTACATACAAAATGGGAAAGAGGATTCCCGCCCACTCACTGTCGACCATCAGACTTTACCAGGTGCCTCTCGGTGCCAAGAGAGGGCTGCTGCAAACCTGAGCAGGGAGGCAGAATTAGGCGTGGCGGCTCCTGCTCAAGACCATGGTCACTGGCAGGGTGTTGTCACTGCCTGTCCCCGGGTCTCTGGATGCTGGCTTGAGACCTCGTCCCACCTTGGTGCATCCTGGCTGGGTTGGAGGACCCAGTTGCTGAAGAACCTTGGACCAATCACTTCCCCTCTCTGAGCCTCGATTTCCTTTTCTATAAGAGGTAGAGGCTTGGAAGTCCCAAGCTCCTTCCCCGGTTGCCTCCCTTGTGCATTGAGATGGACAGCTGAGGCTGCTGAGGCCAGGCTATGGCCAGGTACCCTCAGCAGCCTGGAGGCCCCTGGTCCCTGGTGGCTCCCAGTGGACTTGCTGGAGGAATGGACCCGGCCAGATCTACCTTCCCAAGACTCTCTGAAGGGTCGGGTGAAGGTATCCCCCTAGGGCCAGCTCCATGCATGTGGCCGTCTATCCAATTACACAAGGCCCCATGCTCAGAAGGGTCCTGCACCTTGTTTAATGCTCTGGTGTCTAAGCATCTTGAAAATCTTAATTCCTGAACATGGGACCTGTGCTTCCGTTTTACACTGGGTCTTGCAAGTTGTATGGTGAATCCTGCATCACACGCTCCTAGGGCTCCTGGCACGAAGTTTCAGTCCCAGATGAGACCCCAGAGGGTTATCCTACTACTGCCAATGCCTGTGCCTCTGTGAAGGGCTGGTAATGTCGTCACACTGGGCCCTTGACATTGGAGCGGGACAGGGGGACGGGGGGGATGGGGGGACGGGGGAGAGAGGGTGGGTTGGAAAAACAGGCAGCCCCAGATCTCTGGCACCTGAGACGAAGATGGAGAGAGCTTCTGGGCTGGGGATGACAGGTTTGCTGGGGGCTGGGGAGGCCGGCGCTGCAGATGCAAGATCAGAGAAGCCTGAGAGCTGGTTCCCTTGCTGCCAGCCAAGGGGGGTTCCCAACGAAGGAGTGGATTTGAACCTTCGGAGCTGACACCTGCCTGAGCAGCCAATCGGTTGCCGGGACTCGCAGGGCTGCCCTGTGATTGGCTCTCGCTGTCCCCACCTGCTCTGTTGTATAGACCCTGTACTGGACCCGACAGGGCGCTATGAGATCTTTGCATCAAATCCCCCATTTCGCAGATGGGAGCCTGAGCCTGCTCTGTGGACGGCCCCATGCTAGGTGTTGGGGATATAGAAACATGGCAGGAAGACGGTGCCCTCGGGTGCCTGTGACATAGAGGGGCTCCCCCTTACACCTCATTTCCTTAGATCCTGCTCCAGTGGAAGCCCTGGTGAGCTTTTAAAACTCAGAGTTAGTTTGGGTGCTGTGGCTCATGCCTGTAATCCCAGCACTTTGGGAGGCCGAGGCAGGCAGATCATGTGAGCCCAGGAGTTTGAGATCAGCCTGGGCCACATGGAGAAATCCCATCTCTACAAAATAAATACAAAAAGTAGCTGGGCATGGTGGTGCATGCCTGTAGTCCCAGCTACTTGGGAGGCTGAGGTGAGAGGATCATTCGAGCCTGGGAGGCTGAGGCTGCAGTGAGCTACGATCATGCTACTGCACCCCAGCCTGGGCAACAGAGTGAGACCCTGTCTCAAAAACCACCACCAAAAACAAAAAGCAACTGAAAGTGATCCTGGCCTACATCCCTCCTGCGGCTCCCTTCACAGTTAAAACCCATCTCGATGTTCAAACCCTGAACAGCAGCCCCCTCTCCCCAGCCTCATTTACCACACTCCCTTACCCACTTCACTCCAAGTACACAGACTGCCTTGGCGACTTCAGCCTTCCCCAGCCTCTTCACTCCCCTTCTGATACCCAGAACCCTCCTCATTTGCCGTCATTCAGTTCCTTGCCTAGACATCACCTCCTGACCCCCTGTCTAAAGCAGCCCCCCGCCTTCACCCTGCCCTCTCCATCTCTCTGTCCCCCCACACCCCGGCATCATCTTATTGCTCCTTCACTGCCACTCCTCCTCTGGGATGGAAGCTCCCTGAGGACAGGGTCCTCATCTGCCTCGCTCCCTGCCACTGTGTCAGTTTCTAGAACAGAGCTGAGCGCATCCCTGTTGCTCCGTCATGAACGCCCCCCCTCCCCACAGGCAGACGGGCAGGTGGGAGTCAGCTCTGCATGGAAGAAGGTGTGTTGCTAACTGAGGTTGAATCGTTTGGCACTGAATTTTCACTTTCATTTGAAATCCTCTCTTGGGTGAACTGGCGCATCCAGCCTGGGATTCCGGTGAGCAGGATGACATCAGCCTCCCTAGCTGTGTGCACCAGGCTCCAGCCTCTGCCTTAGCTCAGGCCCCTCTTCTGTTGGGTATTCTGTTCCCTCCTGCTCTACCTTCCCCACCCTGTGACACCTCCTGCTGCCTTCATCTTTCACCAATGACATGGTAAGGGCCGCCCCTCCTGGCTGACCTGCCAGTTTCCCCTGTGGCCCCTCCCTAAGACTTCTCCAAGAGGGACCTTTTCTTTTCTTTTTTTCTTTTTTCTTTTTTTTTTTTGAGACAGAGTCTCTCTCTGTTGCCAGGCTGGAGTGCAGTGGCACGATCTTGGCTCCCTGCAACCTCTGCCTCCCTGGTTCGAGGAATTCTCCTGCCTCAGCCTCTCGAGTAGCTGGGACTATAGGTGTGCGCCACCATGCCCAGCTATTTTTTGTATTTTTAACAGACAGGGTTTCCCCATGTTGGCCAGGGTGGTTTCGATCTCTTGACCTCATGATCCACCCTCCTCAGCCTCCCAAAGTGCTGGGATTACAGGTGTGAGCCACGGCGCCCAGCAGGGACCTTTTCTAAATACAAACCTGATCTTATCACCCCTGCCTGGTTTGGCCCCGTGGCGGCTCCCCATTGACCTAAGAACAAAGATCTGACTGGTCCAGGCCCCTCTGACTTCAATCCTTCCTCACCCCCAAGTCACCAGCCATGTGTGCCCTGTGGTCTCTGGGTTCCTCGAATGCACAATCCTTCCTCCCTGGGGGTGGGCTTCACTGGTGGTCAGGTGATCCCTGGGTGCTATACAACAGAGCAGGCGGGGACCACGAGAGCCAATCACGGGGCAGTCCTGAGAGTCCCGGCAAATGATTGGCTGCTGATGCAGGTGTCGGCTGCAAAGGTTCAGATCCATGCCCTTGCTGCTAACCCCTCATGGCCGGCAGCAGGGGAGCCAGCTCTCAGGCTTATCTGATCTTGTATCTGCAGCACGGGGACCTCCACCTGCCCCATTCCCCTCCTCCACTCTATTCCAGACCTGGCCTCAGAGTTCTACAGGCTCTGGGTGAAAACACAGTATCCACTGTCTCCAACCCATTTTTCAGCCATGAAATAGCAGCGACACTTACCATGTGGGCTTTTTCTGGATTGGGTAACGGGATCTAGCCTTGCTCTGCTGCCCACTGGCTGGGAGATCTTGGGCAAGTCCCTTCCTCTCTGTGAGCCTCAATTTCTTCATCCGGAAAATAGGGTGAGGGTTGACCATGGTGGTTGGTATGTAAGGTTCCTCTCTGGTCCTGGCTGCCTGTAGGTCGGTCTCTCTCTCTCTCTCTCTCTCTCTCTCTCTCCTCTCTCTCTCCTCTCTCTCTCTCTCTCTCTCTCTCTTAAGACAGAGTTTCACTCTTGTTGTGCAGGCTAGGTTGCAATGGTGCCATCTCTACTCATTGCAACCTCCACCTCCCAGATTCAGGTGATTCTCCTGCCTCAGCTTCCCGAATAGCTGGGATTACAGGCGTCCACCACCACGCCCAGCTAATTTTTGTATTTGTAGTAGAGATGGGGTTTCACCATGTTGGCCAGGCTGGTCTTGAACTCCTGACCTCAGGTGATCCACCCACCTCGGCCTCCCAAAGTGCTGGGATTATAGGCATGAGCCACAGTGTCTGGCCACCTGTGGGTCTCTTATGTAAGGGTGACCCTCGGAGGTGTCACACCATTGACATATCCCTGCAGCTGTCCCTCTGGTCCTCTGGGGAGGGGCCCAGTGGCAGGAGCATTTGGGGGCATGGAAAATGAGACTGCTCAGCTTCTTAGCATCTCCCAATGGGGTGGCTTGAACATCCTCTGTTTTTTTTTTTTTTTGGATTCTCCTAATGACCCCAAGAAATAATTTTCCCCTCCACTTTAAAGAGATTGAGGCTCAGAGAAGTTAGGTTACTCACCCAGGGTCACACAGCTGGGATGTCCTGGCTTCACAAAGAACTCTTTGTTCCCCCCAACAAGAAAGGTCCTTGACCTCGTCAGGCCTCACTTTCCTCATCTGTCTAATGGGAGTAACTTAAGATCCTTCTGCGTTAGATCACATGAGCCTTCAAGACCTAATATACAAAGAAACGCAGCCCCTGCCTGGCTTCAGAGGAGGTGGCTGGTGCTTCTCAAGGTCCCAGCTCTTTCCCCATCACCGTGGCCCCAAGATCCCAGGCATGACCCAGAGGAGACAGGTGCCTTTGGTTTGAGGAATATCAGGGGGCTTCTTGGCACTAGCATTTTAGCTGGACGTTAGAGGAGAGAGTGTCCAAGCATTTCCCAAAGGTGTGTTACTGGTCAAAACCAGAAAAACAACACAGGAACTGCTTTTTCCATCATGCCCAGCTGTGTCTCCCTGGACAGCGCCTTCTTCCTGAGATCCCACAGCAGTGTAGGTGGTACCCAGAGTGGGCGCAAGGCAGCATCTCCGGTGCAGCAGATCCCGGGCTGGCCCCAGGGTGCAGTGACAAACAGGTCAGGTTTAGTGCCTGCCACCTGGGATGCCGAGTTCCCCAAGGAGTGCTGGTTTAGGTGGGGTGGGGGCCCCGAAATGGCTGCATGTCAGGAAAGGCTTCTTGGAGGAGGTGACATTGAGCAGGGGCTGGAGGGATGAGTAAAAGCCTGGCAGTGGGAAGGAAGAGGAGGGAGAGAGGAAGGAAAGCAGGAAGCCAGGGGCCACTCTTTGTAGGCACTTTCCAGACAGGTGGGAACAGGGCCATCTGAGGAACTGAGAGGTGACCAGGAATCCTGTCCAGGGCCGGAGGAGCACAGTATATTAAAAAGGCTGGGCTGCCCACCGGCACCTGGTGAATGCAGGTGGAAGGGAATTAAACCAAGGTGAGCTGAAACCCTTCAGTTGCCACCTCGTCCAGGAAGTCCTCAGAGAATGCTTCTCAGTGTTGGGCTGCAGAAGCACTAATGCTTCAGAGTAACAGGAGCAAAAATTTGGAGGGGTGGGCAGCCTGGAGGGTGCGGGGGCCAGAGGCCAGATTGGTGAGAACATTTGGACAGCTAAGGTGGGAAGGACATTCTGGGCAGGGGCTTTGTGTGGACCAGCATGGGGAGGTGGGCAGTGTGAGCCTTTACTGGGAAAGAGCTTGGCTGGTGTATGAGGGGAGGAGTAGGAGGATAAGCCCGAGGAGGATCTGGAGGTCTCAGTGGACCAGGTCAGGAGATGAGACACAGGGCCTGTGTGGGTGACCACAGTGTGTAAGTGAGAGTGATTCCCTAGCCTCAGGGGCAGGCTGTTCGATTCCCGGAGGCACAGCTGTGCCCTGGGGCAGTGAACGCTGCTTGTGATCACTGGTTTCTTACCTAGTTTTGTCACTCTCTGGCTTGTGTGGCCTTGGGCAAGTCGCTGCATCTCTCTGAACCCAGTTTTCTCTTCCACAGCGTTGGGGAGTCAGCACCTTCCTTGAGGGGATGTGTGTAGTGAGAACTGGCTTTAACACCTCCCCTGCTCCGAGCTTGGCGTCCTGGGCTGGCTCTCCCAGCGTTCTTTGGGCTTCCCCCTCTCTGACATTTGTCAGGCCCCTCGCCCCGTGTCTGGCTTCCTGCCAGCTGTGAGGGCCATCAGGCTTGTGCTCCTCGGTGGCGCCAGCGCTGGCTCTGCACCCGATGCATAGTAGGCGCTCTGCAAATGCATCTGGAGGCTTGTTCCATGGCCTTGCAGGGCTCTCTGGGTCTGGTGGGAGATGTTGGGAGTCAAGGTCGGTGACCCACGCTATCCCCTCAGCAGCATGTGTCACCCAGGCTGGAGTGCAATGGTGATCTCAGCTCACTGAAACCTCTGCCTCCTGGGTTCAAGCGATTCTCCTGCCTCAGCCTCCTGAGTAACTGGAGTTACAGGCATGCACCACCATGCTTGGCTAACTTTTTGTATTTTTAGTAGAGATGGGGTTTCACTGTGTTAGCCAGGATAGTCTTGATCTCCTGACCTTGTGATCTTCCCGCCTCGGCCCCCCAAAGTGCTGGGATTACAGGCGTGATCTACCACGCCCCGCCCAGCACACGTCTTTCCACCATGTGCCGTGGCCCTTCCCGTGGTCCGTGACTGACAGCTTTCACATGCATTCTGGGGTGGGCTAGAAGGCTCCAGAAGCAGCCCTCTTCTCCTGGGAGATGGGAGATGAATGGCAGCACCCCAGCTTCCTGCTGCCTCTGGGGATGCCCTGGGCACAGTCTACTGTCTCCCAGGCAGCCCCAGCAGGACTTAGTGGCGGCCTACCGCCATGACAGCTCAACCGCCCGCCCTGTGTCAGCTGCTGCCCCCTCCCTTACTCCTTCCCAGTCCCCTTCTGTAGCATCCTGGGGCCACCTCCCAAATAAACCCCTCACACCACCTCCTTGTCTCAGAGTTTGCTTCTGGGGGGACCCAGTCTGAGATGGGATAACATTCATTCAACGAATATTGAGGCTGGGCGCTGAGGCTCACGCCTGTAATTCCCAGCACTTTGGGAGGCCGAGCTGGGTGGATCACCTGAGGTGAGGAGTTTGAGACCAGCCTGGCCAACATGGTGAAACCCCATCTCTATTAAAAATACAAAAATTAGCCAGGCATGGTGGCGCATGCCTGTAATACCAGCTACTCGGGAGGCTGAGGCAGGGGAATTGCTTGAACCCAGGGGGTGGAGGTTGCATTGAGCTGAGATCGCACCATTGCACTCCAGCCTGGCGACAGAGCGAGACTCCATTTCAAAAAGCAAAAAAACATTGAGTGACAACCTCGCTTCGCAGCCTAGGAAGATAATAAAGTTTATTCTCATCAAGACTTGGAGGAAAAGTTACATAGCCTTAAACAATGACCTTTCCAAAGGACAGATATAGGTTGAAAAAGGATTAAGAGATCATCTTTTTCTCTTCTTGTTTATTTGTATTAGATTTTTTAAAAATATAATGAATCAGTAATGAAACAAACAAACAAAACCCAACTGCAAATGCTGTGTGACTTTGGGCCAGTCAGGCTGTCTCTGGGTCTCAGCCTCCGAATGGAGTGACGTGGGGCTGGACCACAGTCCCCAGGTTCTGGGGTTTGAGATTGACCTTTCCTCTTCCTTGCCTGCTCCCCACAGGTTTGACAACTATTCAGCCAATGTGATGGTGGACAGCAAGCCCGTGAACCTGGGGCTGTGGGACACTGCCGGGCAGGAGGACTACGACCGCCTCCGGCCGCTCTCCTACCCACAGACGGTGTGCTGCTCCTGCTTACCTTGCTGCCCTGACCTTTGCTGCCTCCGTTCCCTCCACCTGGGATGCCTTTCCAGCTAGCTCAGCCTGGGAAACCCTTATTCTCCCCTGAAGGCCCAGCTCAAGGGGTCTGCCTGCCTTGGACCTCCCAGGCAGAGCAGGGCCTCCTCTTGCTCCCCCAGCCCTGCGTTGCTTCCCGTCCTCACTGTGCCCATCTTCCCACTCCACTGCCTCCTGGGCTCTGGCACCTCCTGTTTCTGGCACCTCCTGCCCCAGGAGGCAGCCCAGGATGGTGATCCCTGGGAGTGCTGGGGGACGGGGAGAGGCGGAGGATGCCTGCAAGTGGCTCCTGGGTCCCACTTTTCCTCCAGGGAGGGCAGGGAGGCAGCTGAGGCTGGTGATCAAGATGGCAGAGAGTATGGATTGGAGTATGGATTCTGGAATGGCAGATCCTCCCCTCGCCAGGGTGCACCTTGGCAAACTCTGTAGCCTCTGGATGCCTCACTTTCCCCGTCTGAGGAATGGGGCTGGCAGCAGTGCTTGCTGCAGTGACATGTGACAACCACTTCGCAGACGCCCTGGCCTTTAGTAAGCGTCCTAACGAACGGCAGCCTGCTAGTAGAGGCGAGAAGGGTATCTCTGCTCTGCCCAGATCCTAAGTCCCCAGCGTCCCTGGGCTCCTCCTTCCTCAGGGAGCCCCAAGCTCCACCTCTCGGTGGCTGCCATGGTGGGACACCTCCGGGCCCTTCTCACTGGCGACCCTCACCTGCTCTGTCCCCAGGACGTCTTCCTTATCTGCTTCTCCCTCGTCAGCCCCGCCTCCTATGAGAACGTCCGTGCCAAGGTGAGCTGGATAGAGTGGGCCTTGGGGGTGCTGGGGCAGGTGACTCTGAGGGAGAGGGAGGAACTGGTAACTCTAGGCTGGTCCCGGGGGTAGCAGAGGCCACATGCAGAGAGGGTTCCCAGTGCCAACCAGGGCTGGCAAGTGGACTGAGGGGGTGAGATTTGGAGGGTCTGGGGTGGGGTGGGTGTTGCGATAGTTAGCTTTCCTCCCACCTTCTGAGGCTGCGTCCTCCTCCTCCCCCTGCAACCTCACGTCCACCTCCAATTGCCGCATAACGTCACGCTTGCTTCTTAGGTCTGCACAAAACCTCGCCGCCTCCTTTCCTACAGTCATGCACCCCTCCTTCCTGCACAACCTCGTGGCCTCCCCTCCCTGTGCCGCCTCACGTCTCTCCTCCCTGCCATGCACCCCTCCTTCCTGCACCCCTCCTTCCTGCACAACCTCGTGGCCTCCCCTCCCTGTGCCGCCTCACGTCTCTCCTCCCTGCCATGCACCCCTCCTTCCTGCACCCCTCCTTCCTGCACAACCTCGCGGCCTCCCCTCCCTGCTCCGCCTCACGTCTCTCCTCCCTGTCATGCCACCTCTGATCTTCTTACAGCCTGGTGCCCCTCTTCTCCCCACACCCTCTGCTCCCCAAACAACATTGTGCCCCCTCTTGACCTATACAACCTTGCCTTCCCCGCCCCCACCTGTCCAGTGGTTCCCGGAAGTGCGGCACCACTGCCCCAGCACACCCATCATCCTGGTGGGCACCAAGCTGGACCTGCGGGATGACAAGGACACCATCGAGAAACTGAAAGAGAAGAAGTTGGCTCCCATCACCTACCCGCAGGGCCTGGCACTGGCCAAGGAGATTGGTATGGGCCTTGGGCTCAGAGAGGGGAGCTGGCTGCTGGGGAGCCCTGGCTTGGCCTTGTGGCGTGATTGTGAATACGAGCTGAAGGGCCAGGCTATGCTGTTCCAACTTACCTGTGCTGTGTATTTACCGTGTGACCTCAGGCGAGTCATGTAGCCTCTCTGTGTCTATGTTTCCTTATCAGAAAAGCATGGGATAGTGATAGCCCCTGCCTCCTGGGGTGGTTGACGGAATTAAATGAGTTAATACAGGTGGAGCTCCCACACCTGCATGTGGGAAGCACTCTGTGTTAGCTAGTAGTTGTCCCAGTAGTATTAGTAGTATCTATTAATAGATATTGAAAATAAGGAGGTGTGTTTTGAGCAGACAGAAGCAGAAACTGAGTGCAGTGCTGTGGTTGCCTGGAGGACAAGTGGCAAGTCAGACTTGGGTGTTCTGGGAAGGCTTCCTGAAGGAGGTGGCCCTGAGTTAGATCTGAAGGGTGACACATTCCCTTCCACCACCTTCTTGCCTCCCTTTCCCCATCCCCTTGGCTTCTCAGCTCAGCTCCTCTTTGCCTCCAAGTCACTGGGCTGGAGAAGTATGGTAACTTCTCAAGGTCGCCCAGCTAGTAGGTGGCCCAGTGATTTTGAAGGAAGGACAGCAAATTGTTGGCTCACTACTGGGGCAGGCTGGGGGCGGGGGGTGCTTCTTTGTAGTGGCTCAGGACTGCCTGCACCACGGAGGTGACCACCATGGGTCTGGCTTCCTGCATGGCACCCAGGACTGCTGGCTCTGTCCCTGTCCCTGGTAGGTCCCAATGTGCATGTAGCCCAGGGATCCCTGCCCAAGAGCCCAGGGCCACCAGCTGAGTTTGGTCACTGTGAACCGTGCCCTCTGCCTCACCACAGGGCTCTGCAGGCCCAGGGTTTGGCCCCCAAATTGAATCCGCTAAACCTCCCCCCTGCCCCGCTGCCCCAGCCCCGCCACTCCTCCCCCTGCCGGAACTGGGAGGGCCCTGGGGGCTCACACCTCTTCACAGGAAGGGAAACCGCAGCCACCACCTCCCTCCTCCCCTGACTGGCGTGGTGACACGCCATCTTCCCCAGGGGCCTCGGACTATGGCTCACACCCTGGGTCCCTTCCCCTGTCCTGGGGCCTGCTGGTCTTGCCTTGCAAATTTCAGGGATTCATCCCTGCCTTCTCTTTCTGGCCAACAGCAGCCCCCTAATCCCCACCCCTGGACTCCTTCTGCTCAGGGTGCAGCTCTCTAGCCTGCGGTCTGCTGTCACTGACCTCTCCCTTGCAAAGTGCATGCTTTGGGATCACGCGGAGGGCACTGGAGGCCTGGGTCCTGGTCTTGGCTGTGACACTGATTGACTGTATGACCTTGGGTTCGTGGCTGCTCCTCTCTGGGCCTCAGTCTCCCTATCCGCATAAGCTGGCCTGGACAATCCCCACAGGCCCTCTCTCCTCTAAGGTGGTGACTCAGGCCTCCTGACTTGGCCTCTAGCCAATCTCTCCTGGCTGACCCTGCAGGGAGCTGGGTACAGGTGGTGATTCTGACTGACCAGCTCAGGTCTGGGGGGCATCCAGGGGGGACTGGCAGGGCTAGTGAGGAAGGCAGCAGATGCCTCTGCCCACCTGGGCTCCCCAGACCTGGGATGAGGCGTTTTGGGGGCAGCCCTGAGCCCAGCTGATAATCATGGTTGATGTGGACCCAGCACTTCCTGGGAGCCACTTCCCAGCAGCTACATTGTAGGACTCTTGTCACCTCCACTTCACAGTAGGGAAACAGGCTCGGGAGGACAAGTTGCTGGCTTAAGGCCACCCAGCCAGGACATGGCCCAGCCCAGATTCCAGTGGGAGTGGACTAGCTACCCAAGCCACAAAGCTGAGGGCCATCTGTCCTCCCTGCCCTCTCTGTGGCTCCCCTGCTCCTGCCTAAGCTTCATGAGCCATTGCTAAGTCCTAGGCAGACAGGAGACCGAGGCTCGGAGACGAGGAACCAGCTAAATCCTAAAGAGGTCAGAGGCAGAACTAAAGTGAGCTCCAGCCCCCTGGCTCAGGACCCTTGTCCTGGGTGGGTGGATGGCTGGGTGCCAGGGAAAAGGCAGTTGGTGGGTGTGGGGGAAGTGGACGCAGATGTGGTCCCTCGTAGGGAGACAGTGGCCAAGTGCCCAGTGACGCCTCCTCAACAGAGGGTGCCGCGGTGAGCAGACTCTGGGCTGAGCTCAGGGCACCCTGCTCGTGCCAGCCAAGCCCCATGCCAGCCACTGCCCATGATCCCTGGTGGGTGTACATGCTTCCAGGTAAAGGGGAAACCCCCAGCATGTGATTCAGACCAAGTGACATCCTCTCTGAGCCTCATGTCCCTGCCTCACCCTTCCTTTCTCCCCAGCACGGGCCCTCAGTGGGCTCCCCTGTTTCTGGGGCCGCCCCTCCCAAGACCCCGACTCCTCCTCCCAGCTCTGTGCCTTCGGGCCGTGGCTTCCCCTGTTTCCTGGTTTGTGAAGTGGGAAATCACAGTGTTTCTTCACGGTGTTGTTGGAAGTGTGCAGTTCAGTGCCTGGCACAGAGCAGGTGGTGACCAGCGTCCATCCCCTTCTTTCCTGCTGAAGAGAAGCAAGCAGGCTTCGGCGGAGGGCCCAGAGCGCCCTCTCCTCCCTTCGCCTTCCTCTTGGTTCTAAAATCAGTCCTCAGGCCAGCACGTGTCTCAGAAGAAGGGGTTTTGTGGTTTTTCATTTCAGGGAAACGGTGTGGCTTGAAATGGACATGGGAAGTCACACGGGCTCTTTGCAGAAGGTCATGGGACGCTGTCCCTGGGGGTGGGGGCTCAGCCTGCATTTCTCCCCGTCTGTGCCCCGGGCTCTAGCCCTGACGGATCTTCATGTGGGAGAAGGCTGGGCCTCCCACATGAGGAAGGGGGAGCTCTCCAATTCCACATCTCCCAGAAGGCCCCCAGCTGTGCCCAGGTAGAGGGGATATGCCCAGCGTGTGCCTTTGGGTGAGCCACATACTCTCCACCAGCCTCAGTTTCCTTGTCTGTAAGATGGGGATGGGGCTAAGGAAGCAGCAGATGAAGTTGGGAAGTTCCTGGGGAGGGGCCACGAGGGCTGCAGGCCTTCTGGGGATCATTTGCAACCCTGGGAGAATCCTGGAGGGATGGACGAGGCCATTTTTCTTTTCTTTTTTTTTTTTTTGAGATGGAGTCTTATTCTGTTGCCCAGGCAGTGGGCACGATCTCTGCCTCCAGGGTTCAAGTGATTCTCCTGCCTCAGCCTCCTGAGTAGCTGGGACTCTCTAGTAGTGTGCCACCATGCCCAGCTAATTTTTTTTTTTTTTTTTTTTTTGAGACGGAGTTTCGCTCCTATTACCCAGGCTGGAGTGCAATGGCGCGATCTCGGCTCACCGCAACCTCCGCCTCCTGGGTTCAGGCAATTCTCCTGCCTCAGCCTCCTGAGTAGCTGGGATTACAGGCACGTGCCATCATGCCAGCTAATTTTTCTTATTTTGGTAGAGACGGGGTTTCACTATGTTGACCAGGATGGTCTTGATCTCTTGACCTCGTGATCCATCCGCCTCGGCCTCCCAAAGTGCTGGGATTATAGGCGTGAGCCACTGCGCCTGGCCTAATTTTTGTATTTTTAGTAGAAACTGGGTTTCACTATATTGGATGGGCTGGTCTCGAACTCCTGACCTTGGACAAGGCAATTTTTTTAGAAGAAGGCGAGGCTTCCAGAGATTTGGTCACTGATGCTTGAGCCCTTTCCTTCCCAGAAAAGCATCAAAATTCCTGCCTTCTTTCCACGAATTAAGAGCTATGTGTCCAAGGAAGACACAGACCTACCCTATAGGTCTTAGTCTCTCAGTGAATTCAAGCTCACTATTTCAGACATGAGGAAACGGAGGCACAGTGACGTTAAACTCCCTGCTCCAGGTGACACAGCCCCCAGGTGGCCGCACTGGGACTGGAACCTGGATAGTGGCCCTCACAGCCTGGTGTTCAGTTGCATGGCATGGGAGGGGTGTTGGACCAGAGCCCCCACCCTTCCCTGACAGGCTTAGCTTTCCTGCTGTCCATCCCCCCAACCAGATTCGGTGAAATACCTGGAGTGCTCAGCCCTCACCCAGAGAGGCTTGAAAACAGTGTTCGATGAGGCCATCCGGGCCGTGCTGTGCCCTCAGCCCACGCGGCCGCAGAAGCGCCCCTGCAGCATCCTCTAGGGGTAAGAGTCCCCCCTCTAGTGCTCCGTGACCCCCAACTCCCATACACAGCAGGCCCTGGATGAGATGTGGCCTTTGGTTCACTGTGAGTGGCATTTAGGTCAGGACAAAAAGAAGGTAGGTATGGAGGGGGGAGCCTCAGTTTCCCCAGCCTTCTTGTCATTTGCCTGGGCCAGTCCCACTCTCTGGAGCTCACCTTTCAGTGGCAAGGCCCAAGGTGCAAACAAATGCCTGGTAACCCCCCAACCCACTGGGGGGATGTCATGGAGCTTCCACTCTGCCCATTCCTGCCAGGGGTGATGGAAAAGATGCTTTGGCCCCTGGCCCCAGGAGAACCCAGTTGAGCTAGGGAGACCTTGTACCCACAAACATGGGTGGAGGTGGGTCAGACTGAGCTATGAGACCCAGAGGGCAGATGGTGGGGTGCGTATGACTTGGAGGCAGTGCACAAGGTTTCCTGGAAGTGTGGGACGAGAAGGACAGAGAGGCCTGGTGAGGTGGGAGGGCAGCATGGCCAGTCCTGGTGGGAGGCAAACCTTGAGCAAAGGCCCAGAGGTGGGAATGAGCTGTGAGCCAGGAAGGCGAGAACTGTGGACTCTGCATGTCCCCAAATTCTCTTCCCCTGCTTACCTTCCTTTCAGGTTGCACCCCAGCTCTCCCAACCAGATGGATCTGATCTTCCAGGATCCCCACCCAAAGCCTGATGGCACCCTGGCTGGCCATGCTGTCCCTTCCCTCTGGCATTTCTTAGCAGACGGCTGCAGAGCTTTGTCAATGGTCTTTTCTGTGCCGGAAGCCTCCTGAGGCCAGGAAGGTGCAAATTTGCAGGTGCTGCATCCCAAGCCTCTCATGCTCCTGCCTTCCTGAGGGCCGGAGGGGAGCCCCAGGACCCATTCAACCACCCCTGTGTTCCTGTCGTCAGTGCCAGCTGCTGCCTGTGGAAGCATCTGCCCGTTCACGCAGTCCTACCCCATGCCTGACTCCCCTCTGGAAACTGCAGGCCAGATGGTTGCCGCCACCACTGTGTTCCTTCGGGGACAGGGCTCTTACTCCCTCCTGAGGCAGCCTGCTCTAATATAGACAGTCCTGCTTGTCAGAGAGTTCTTCTACCCAGTAAAAATGAGTGTCTCAGAAGTGTGCTCCTCTGGCCTCAGTTCTCCTTTTTTGGGACAACATAAATCGAATTTTCTATATCTCTGGGGGTATCTGCTCAGCCAGTGGAAGGTCCGGGTTCAACACGGCCCCTGCCATCTCTTAAGACTTTCTGCTCCACTCACAGGATCCTGAGCTGCACTTAACCTGTGAGAGTCTTAAAACTTTGAATCCTTGCCAGTCAGGACTTTTGCTATTGCAAATAGAAAACCCAACTCAACCTGCTTAAGCAGAAAATAAATTTATTGATTTAAGTTTGGAGATACGATTTCAGGTGCAGCTTGATCAAGGGGTTCAAATGATGTCATCAAGGCTTCTTTGGCTCTGGGCTCTGCCTTCTGCTGGCTGGTTCATTCTTAGGCAGGTGACTTAGGGCTTCGTCCTTCCGAGTTCAAGTTCAGGGCTTCATGCTTACAAGTTCAAGATCAGCCAAAGAGAGCAAATGTCTATCCCAGGCAAAGTTCTAACTAAGGTTTACTGTGATTGGACCAGCTTAGGTCCTAGACCCCCATGCAACCAATCATATTTGTCAGAGCCATGCTGTGCTGTGCTCTGATTGGCCAGGTCTGAACCATATGCCGTGCCAGAACAGAACTGCGGCAACCCCAGGGAGAGCATGTGTGCCAGGGAGGGAGGGTGGGTTCCAAAGTGGGCTGAGAGCCTGGCAGGAATTTGGGAATTTGGGCCCGGAACCCTCAACTTCCACTACTGGAGTCATGAGAAAGTGTTCATTTCAACAGTGAAAAGAAACGGTGCTGGACCTGGCAGGTGCTAAGCAAAAGGGAGTTTCTTTCTTACTTTTTTTTTTTTTTTTTTAGGCGGAGTTTTGCTCGTTACCCAGGCTGGAGTGCAATGGCACGATCTTGGCTCACTGCAACCTCCGCCTCCTGGGTTCAGGCAATTCTCCTCCCTCAGCCTCCCAAGTAGCTGGGATTACAGGCACGTGCCACCATGCTCAGCTAATTTTTTGTATTTTCAGTAGAGACGGGGTTTCAGCATGTTGACCAGGATGGTCTTGATCTCTTGACCTCGTGATCCACCCGCCTCAGCCTCCCAAAGTGCTGGGATTACAGGCGTGAGCCACCGCGCCTGGTCTGCAAAGGGGAGTTTCTTTAAAAGAGAGGCGGAGTTGTGAGGATTTAAGAAACTCAGACATGAGCTCCACAGTGCCTGACATAGTCAGTCCCACCTCAGGGCTTGCTAAGTTCCGGGGAGGTGCCAGACCTCCCCCTCCTGCAGACAGTTACTCTCCTCTATCTCAACTTCTCACTCATTCATCAAACACACATTTATTGAGCACCTCTTCTGTTCCAGGCACTGTTCTAGGTGCAGGAGATCCAGCAGTGCCCAAGAGTCCCTGCCTTCAGGAGGCAGACACTAGGGAGACTAAGATCTAAGAGCCCACCCCTGACAACCCAGAAGACCCCAATTTCCAGCCCATGAAATGCTTGAGTTTCCACATTGTGCTTTCCCAGAGCTCCCAGCAAACCACATTGTCCCCATAAGTCCCCATGCTCTGAAGCTGAACCCGTCCCCCAGCAGCTCGCTCACCTCCTGGGAGCCCCCCCTTAAGAGGGGCTTGTTGCAGAGGGGAAACCCATTTGCTTTCCTTAGTTTCAGGTCAGACAAAGTCATGATGTTTTTCAAGTTACTTCTCTTCCAAAACAGAAAGGAAATACTAAAACCTGCCCATCCACGGCACAATACAGACGGAGATGGCCAGGACCCCATATCCTAGAACGTTTGGTATCTAAGATCCCTGAGCCAGCCCCTGCAGTTGGCCAGAGTCTGAGGAAGCCTCCTTCTGCTCCCTCCTCTTCACAGAGCCTTGGGATAAACTCCAGAGCGTCTGCAACAAACCATGGCCCTGGAGGCCTGGCCATCCTCTGCCTCCCGTTCTTATTGCACTCACGCCTCTACCATCAGACGACTCTCATTGCACTCACACCTCTGCCGTCAGACTGGACTCTCGTTGCACTCACACCTCTACCGTCAGACTGGACTCTCGTTGCACTCACGCCTCTACCGTCAGACTGGACTCTCGTTGCACTCACGCCTCTACCGTCAGACTGGACTCTCGTTGCACTCACACCTCTACCGTCAGACTGGACTCTCGTTGCACTCACGCCTCTACCGTCAGACTGGACTCTCGTTGCACTCACGCCTCTGCCGTCAGACTGGACTCTCGTTGGACTCACGCCTCTACCGTCAGACTGGACTCTCGTTGCACTCACGCCTCTACCGTCAGACGACTCTCGTTGCACTCACGCCTCTACCATCAGACTGGACTCTCGTTGCACTCACGCCTCTACCGTCAGACTGGACTCTCGTTGCACTCGCGCCTCTACCGTCAGACTGGACTCTCGTTGCACTCGCGCCTCTACCGTCAGACTGGACTCTCGTTGCACTCGCGCCTCTACCGTCAGACTGGACTCTCGTTGCACTCGCGCCTGTACCGTCAGACTGGACTCTCGTTGCACTCGCGCCTCTACCGTCAGACTGGACTCTCGTTGCACTCGCGCCTCTACCGTCAGACTTGACTCTCGTTGCACTCACACCTATACCGTCAGACTGGACTCTCGTTGCACTCACGCCTCTGCCGTCAGACTGGACTCTCGTTGCACTCACGCCTCTACCGTCAGACTGGACTCTCGTTGCACTCACGCCTCTACCGTCAGACTGGACTCTCGTTGCACTCACGCCTCTACCGTCAGACTGGACTCTCGTTGCACTCACGCCTCTACCGTCAGACTGGACTCTCGTTGCACTCACGCCTCTACCGTCAGACTGGACTCTCGTTGCACTCACGCCTCTACCGTCAGACTGGACTCTCGTTGCACTCACGCCTCTACCGTCAGACTGGACTCTCGTTGCACTCACGCCTGTACCGTCAGACTGGACTCTCGTTGCACTCACGCCTGTACCGTCAGACTGGACTCTCGTTGCACTCACGCCTCTACCGTCAGACTGGACTCTCGTTGCACTCACGCCTCTACCGTCAGACTGGACTCTCGTTGCACTCACGCCTCTACCGTCAGACTGGACTCTCGTTGCACTCACGCCTCTACCGTCAGACTGGACTCTCGTTGCACTCATGCCTCTACCATCAGACTGGACTCTCATTTCTTCCACCCCGCGTTCATACTTCTTTCTTTCCAGGGCTTTGTACCTACTGGTCCCCTTTCCTTGAACACTTTCCTCCACTCCTGGAACCTCCCTGCAGGTCAAAGATGGGCCGGGGTCTCCTTCCATGTGTGTTCAGCCTGTTAGGCCCACCCCAGTAGAGACAATCTTTGCTTCTATATAATAATAATATCAGTAAATAACTTCCTTTACTCATTGTCTTGTCTCCCATGCACATATTATCTCATTTAATCTTCTTCCAAGATAAGTACTCATAGCCACCATTTGTAGAAGAGGAAGTGCAAGATGTGGGAGGGTGCACGCAGGGCTTGGCTCCCTTGACAAGGGAGATGCTGTACTTTCCCACCCTCTTCCTCTGTTGCCATCCTCCTTTCTAACAGAATCCTAGTTTCGTGCACAGCAGCAATGCACCAAACACCAACAAAATACTTGTTTTCCCAGCTGGTTTTGTCATTGGGGTTTTCAGGTCACATAGCTCTGGGCAAGAAGACATATGTGAAAGTCAGCTGGAGAGCTGGCTTCTGTGAAAGCTGTTTTCTTCCATAAAAAAAATGACAGGCCCAGCAGACACTGCCCCTTGTGCTGTCCCCTCTCTGGCCTGAATACTGATGGGATGTCTGGCGCCGCAGCAACCCTCTTGTGAGCTTGAAGTCACAAACGTAAAGATACAAGGCCACAGGCTGAGAGTGGATGAGCAGAAAGATAAAAAGAGCCTGGGTCTCTAGCAGCAGCAATTGGCAGCTGAGCGGACGCTAACAGCTACCTTGTTATGGGACAAAAGAAAATGAAACTGCCTAATTGTCTATGTCACGATTGGTCAGGCCTTTTGTTGCTGTAAGCTGACAGCATTTCTTGCTGAGGCGGCGGGACTCCTAGCGCAGTGCTCTTTCCACCATAGAACTGTTCCCAGCAGCCACTGCGCATGAGGAGGGCCGCTTGTTGCTGCTCTGCGAATTGGCTGAGGACGAAGGCCCCTCATATAGGAAAGAGAAAGCTTGTGGGCAGTCAGTGAGAACCTGTTTTGAAACAGGAAGACCTGCTGGTTGCGGGCAGGAGCCGACACCACGGTGTGCTCTCTCATTCGACAGCAACCCCTCCCAAGTGCCCACCTAGTGCCAGGCCTGAGCTGCAGCCTGCTCCATGCCGCACTCAGCCCCTTCTTGCAGGGAAGTCATGGCCTGGTGGTTGAGGAAAGTGCCTGCTCGACGAGGCCTCTTCATCTGGTGCTCCGTATGCTAGGCACTGGCTGTTCCTCGTCCCTTCTTCCAAAGCAGAGGCCTGAGGTTCCCCAAACTCCTCCGATCCTTTCACCTTGGCATTCACTGGCCACCAAGCCTGGACAATTCGGCCCCCCAATATCTGTTAAGTCCATCCCTTGTCGCCATGGCTGTTCCCTAATCTAGACCTGCCATGTCTCCCCTGGACAGTACCCACGACCTCCTTACTGGCCTCCGCCTCCCCTCTCTCTGCCTATGCTCCATTTTCTACCGGGTGGCCTGGGGGATCATCCTCATTTACAAACAACCGTGCCGTCCAAACTGCTGATACAACCACGGACTTATTCGTCCCTTGAATCCTTCAGCAAATAGTTACTGAGACCATGTGTCAAACCCAAGGCCTGGGGGAGGGGCAAGCATGAGCACGCTCTAGGGAGCTCACAGGCCCAGCCATCCGAGAGTCCCGCTATATGGCCCCTCTGCTTGGATGTCTCCTGAGCATTTCAAACTCACATGCCCCGCCCAGCCTTCATCACTCCGTAAATGCATCCAAGCTCTCAACCCAAAAACCTGGGAGGCCTCCTTGACACCTTCCACTCCCTCACCGTCTACTTCCAACCCATCACCGGCAATCTCCCCAGCGTCCCAGCATCCCCCTCCTCTGCGTTGCTATGGTTTCTAATGTGCAGGCCACTGTTTCCTCCCTGGAGTCCTGCCGTAGCCTCCTGTCACAGTCAGCAATGGGCGCAATAATGCTGTGTAACAAACCAAACCAGTTTGAAATCCAGAGGCAAGCAGCAGCCTGTATTCTCACACTCACCAGTGGGTTTGCTGACTTAGGAGGCTTTTCCTGGTGACTTGGCTTCAGGCTGGGGATGGGCGTGTCTGGG